TCTGATGCCTTTATATTCCTCATATACATGATGGAAATAATAATAACTATTTAATAGAATTAAATGAAGTAAGGATGTAAAAACACTTTGTAAACCCTGAATTACTTTACAAAGGTTGGGTATTAATATACTTTTAAATTTTTAATTTCAATACCTTAATCAAAAATTTAACTGTGATGGATGAAGGAACAAGATAAAACCCCAGAAAAACAACTAAATAAAGTGGAGATAGGCAACCTTCCAGGAAAATGATAGTGAAGATGATCCAGGACCTTGGAAAAAGAATGGAGGCAAAGATCGAGAAGATGCAAGAAATGTTTAACAAAGACCTAGAAGAATTAAAGAACAAACACCTAGAAGAAATAAAGAACAAACAAACAGAGATGAACAATACAATAACTGAAATGAAAAATACACTAGAAGGAATCAATAGCAGAATAACTGAGGCAGAAGAATGGATAAGTGACCTGGAAGACAGAGTGGTGGAATTCACTGCAGCGGAACAGAATAAAGAAAAAAGAATGAAAAGAAATGAAGACAGCCTAAGAGACGTCTGGGACAACATTAAATGCACCAACATTCGCATTACAGGAGTCCCAGAAGGACAAGAGAGAGAGAAAGGACCCAAGAAAATATGTGAAGAGATTACAGTCGAACACTTCCCTAACATGGGAAAGGAAATAGCCACCCAAGTTCAGGAAGCGCAGAGAGTCCCAGCCAGGATAAACCCAAGGAGAAACACGCCGATACACATAGTAATCAAATTGGCAAAAATTAAAGGCAAGGAAAAATTATTGAAAGCAACAAGGGAAAAACGACAAATAACATACAAGGGAACTCCCATAAGGTTAACAACTGATTTCTCAGTAGAAACTCTACAAGCCAGAAGGGAGTGGCATGACATATTTAAAGTGATGAAAGGGAAGAACCTACAACCAAGATTACTCTATCCGGCAAGGATGTCATTCAGATTTGACAGAGAAATCAAAAGTTTTACAGACAAGCAAAAGCTAAGAGAATTCAGCACCATCAAACCAGCTCTACAACAAATGCTAAAGGAACATCTCTAAGTAGAAAACATAACAGAAGAAAAGGACCTACAAAAACAAACCCATAATAATTAAGAAAATGGTAATAGGAACATACATATTGATAATTACCTTAAATGCGAATGGATTAAATGCTCCAACCAAAAGACAGGCTTGCTGAATGGATACAGAAACAAGAGCCCTATATATGCTGTCTACAAGAGACCAACTTCAGACCTAGGGACACATACAGACTGAAAGTGAGGGGATAGAAAAAGATATTCCATGCAAATGGAAATCAAAAAAAAAGCTGAAGTAGCAGTACTCATATCAGATAAAATAGACTTTAAAATAAAGAATGTTACAAGAGACAAGAAAGGACACTACATAATGATCAAGGGATCAATCCAAGAAGAAGATATAACAATTATAAATATATATGCACCCAACATAGGAGCACCTCAATACATAAGGCAACTGCTAACAGCTATAAAAGAGGAAATCGACAGTAACACAATAATAGTGGGGGACTTTAACACCTCACTTACACCAATGGACAGATCATCCAAACAGAAAATTAATAAGGAAACACAAGCTTTAAATGACACAATAGACCAGATAGATTTAATCGATATTTATAGGACATTCCATCCAAAAACAGCAGATTACACTTTCTTCTCAAGTGTGCATGGAACATTCTCCAGGATAGATCGCATCTTGGGTCACAAATCAAGCCTCAGTAAATTTAAGAAAATTGAAATCATATCAAGCATCTTTTCTGACCACAACGCTATGAAACTAGATATCAATTACAGGGGAAAAAAATGTAAAAAACACAAACACATGGAGGCTAAAAAATACGTTACTAAATAACCGAGAGATCACTGAAGAAATCAAAAAATACCTAGAGACAAATGACAACAAAAACACGATGATCCAAAACCTACGGGATGCAGCAAAAGCAGTTCTAAGAAGGAAGTTTATAGCAATGCAAGCTTACCTCAAGAAACAAGAAAAATCTCAAATAAACAATTTACCCTTACACCTAAAGGAACTAAAGAAAGAAGAAAAAACAAAACCCAAAGTTAGTAGAAGGAAAGAAATCATAAAGATCAGAGCAGAAATAAATGAAATAGAAACAAAGAAAACAATAGCAAAGATCAATAAAACTAAAAGCTGGTTCCTTGAGAAGATAAACAAAATTGATAAACCATTAGCCAGACTCATCAAGAAAAAGAGGGAGAGGACTCAAATCAATAAAATTAGAAATGAAAAAGGAGAAGTTACAACGGACACGACAGAAATACAAAGCATCATAAGAGACCACTACAAGCAACTCTATGCCAATAAAATGGACAACCTGGGGCTTCCCTGGTGGCACAGTGGTTGAGAGTCTGCCTGCCGATGCAGGGGACATGGGTTCGTGCCCTGGTCCAGGAAGATCCCACATGCCGCGGAGCGGCTGGGCCCGTGAGCCATGGCCACTGAGCCTGCACGTCCGGAGCCTGTGCCCCACAACAAGAGAGGCCACAACAGTGAGAGGCCCACGTACCACAAAAAAAAAAAAAAAAAATGGACAACCTGGAAGAAATGGACAAATGCTTAGAAAGGTATAACCTTCCAAGACTGAACCAGGGAGAAACAGAAAATATGAACAGACCAATCACAAGTAATGAAATTGAAACTGTGATTAAAAATCTTCCAACAAACAAAGTCCAGGACCAGATGGCTTCACAGGTGAATCCTATCAAACATTTAGAGAAGAGCTAACATCTATCCTTCTCAAATTCTTCCAAAAAACTGCAGAGGAAAGGAACACTCCCAAACTCATTCTATGAGGTCACCATCACCCTGATACCAAAACCAGACAACGGTACTACGAAAAAAGAAAATTACAGACAATATCACTGATGAATACAGATGCAAAAATCTTCAACAAAACACTAGCAAACAGAATCCAACAACACATTAAAAGGATCATACACCATATTCAAGTGGGATTTATCCCTGGGATGCAACGATTCTTCAATATACGCAAATCAATCAATGTGATACACCATATTAACAAATTGAAGAATAAAAACCATATGAAAAAAAAATTTAACTGTGACAAATACCTGATAACTGTGGCAAAAGGAGAAGGTACCGAGTCGTGTATAAGTTTATTTTGCTTTAAAAAGTTGACACAATACAAGTAACATATAGAAATAGTGCTTTGTTCACATCACTTGTTTCCCTGTTTCAATAAAACTTCTGTTTCTAAATGGAAAAAAAAAATTTACCTGTGTCGATTCAATTTTGTTTAGAGATATTTTGGTTAAAAGACTCATAATGAGAAACCAAGAGAAATGGCCTTCACTGATTCAACACTGACTTTTGTTGTTGAAATCCACATAACTGCTAACTTGGTGCTATTTTTAGAACTAAATGAGGCCCTTCTCTTTCTGCAGTACACCAGTGTACTTAGTGTACCTTCAGAGTAGCAGAGGAACATCTCTTTTCCATAAGCCTTTCTTTTGAAGACCTTTGTAGTTCTACAATACAAAGTGTGAATGCCAGGCTGTCTGAATATGATTGAAGGGAGAAAGAAATAAAAATTCCTCCTCTCCAGATGGTTCAGTATAACACCATTCCTGGTAAAAATTCTCCTTTCTCCTCTATCATAAATTGAGACCACTGTTAGCTATGAGTATCGAGTTGCTAGAGGAGACCTACATGCCTCATTTGGGTTAAAGGCATCCTGGCCACATCATATTCCCACTAATCCAGGTTTCTAAGCACAGAAGAACAGGAGATAACTCACTACCAATTTAAATGCATAATTTCAGAGAATCTTAAAACTGGAAGAAACTTTAAAATTCAACTAGGGCAATTTCCTCACTTCATTACAAATACACTGTGAGGCTTAGATGAGATGTATGAATCACTCAGGGCCTGCCTCAGGGTAGGCATATAAAAAATGTTAGTCTGCTACTCCTGAAAGTTCTCTGGGCCTTTATTCTAGGCAATGAGACAGGAGTTTCTGCACTCAGCCCCAGAAATATTTTTTCAAAAGCTTTGGGTGTGATGCCCTGTTTTTAAGCTTATATTCAGTCCTTGTGGATTTTTCTATTTTCATTCCAATAATCAATTGCTCTTATGGTAAGCAACTTAGAAAAACCAACTATTACATTTTATAACTACTAAAAAGAGCAGTCAAATAAAGAGAAAGTAATTCTTAACCTAGAGTATCTTCTATTATTATTATTGTTACTGTTATATTATTAATTACTACTATTATAACACTGGACATGACGTAGGATACAGAATAAGCATAAGACATGGTGTTTGCTTTGATGCGTTGTTCTCATAAGAAATAAAGATCAGGAAATAATGTATTACCAATTTAAATGCACAATTTTGAATCCTAAAACTAGAACAAACTTTAAAATTTCAACTAGGGGGGAAAAAGATATTTCAACTAGGGCAATTCTCTTCCTTCATCACAGATAAGTGGTGAAGCTTAAATGAGATGTGTGAATCACCTGTTTCTTTTTAATAACACTTTTAAAAACAGTCAAACATCTTTAAAGACATTATTTTGTAATAATTATATTATCTCCATCGTGGTGTAGGGGAAATGTGAATCCATTGACTAGAAAATAGGGGTAGGCAAACTTCCTATAAAAGGCAGAATAGTAAATATATTAGGCTTTGCAAGCCATATACGGTGTCTGTTACATTTTCTTTTTCTTTTTTTAATGACCTTTTACAAATATAAAAATCTTCCTCTTCCCACTGGCCATACAAAAGCAGATGGGCCAGATTTGCCCTGTGCAAGCTGTGGTTTGCCGACCCCCGGACTAGATAATAAAATTAAAGTCATAAGAGATAATGTATTAAATCAATTTATAAAACTGATAAAATCAGGAACAGGATTTTAATACTTCCTTCAGTATACCATTCTACATCTATGAAACATCTCTACCTTACCTGAAATTCATCGAAACATAAAAGACTTGCTTCTTCACTGATTTCTTCAGCTATAGGACCTATTGGATCGTATGATTTAGCCATGAATCCTGGTTTCCTTTTTGGCAAACTCTGTTTAAGGCGGTGTATTCCTTAGATGGATGAAGTTAAACACAAATCAAATATTGTATTAACAGTACATTTTAGATAACTAAAACATAGTTTTAAAATCTCTAAATGAAACAGAGTGTGAACATAAAAATGAAGTTTAAATTTCACATACAAACAAAAATGATTATTGAGGTTGGTTGCAGTTTTTCCACCTCAAATAAGTTGTTCACGTATTACTATATTCCCATGGTTGTAAGAACACTTTGTGGTCATTCCATCTCCACTCTTCAATCACTTCAGAGATGACAAAGTGATAGAATAGATTACCAGATTGTGACTGATGGATCAACACACAGATCTTAGCCCTGAGGATTTCAGAGATGCAGGCAAAGGAAGTGATCCTGCCCTCTATGTCTAGCATATCTAATCAGGATGTTCCCTTGTTTCCGGCCAGTCCCACTTCATTCACTCTATGTTACTAAATGCTGAAAGTATTCTAAGAAAAGTACAATATTCCTGCCCTGAGAAGGTTACAGTATAGCTAGCAAACAAATAATGCAAAGATGAAATAACATACCCTTGACAAAGAAATAAAGCATACATACAAGAACAAACTGAATGCCTACATGCTAAGGTGACACAGAGGAAAAGGCCTAATCAAGAATAACTTTGTGAAACAGGTGAGGCTTAAAGATTTCTTATTGATCCTTAGTAGAAAGAGAAAATGCCTGACCTTCATAGAGTAACCTCTGTTCTCTGATTTGGAAGTAATGAATTTGTCTCTAGGACCAACTATGGACACATTACTAATTGCTTCAATATAGCACAAAACAAATGAAACCAAATAAAATCTTACTTTTAGCAAAAATCTAATTTTTTAAAAGATTAAGAACTTTAAGATGAGGAAAATTATCTTGTAATGTTTGTCCATTTAAATCACTTCTTTCAGATCATTAACTTACTTTTGTGAACATCTAGCATGAAACCATGAAAATGAACCCGTTTTTTCCTCTTCATTTCCACATAAGCATAAAACATGTCCATCACCATTGTTTTCCCTGTACCTTAAAAAAAAAAAAACTATTAAACAGTATGTACTGATTGCTCTAATGATTGTTCATTAGCTTTGGGATAATGAAACCACACTCTGCTACTGGAAAGCTTAAGACTATGTTAACTTTTTTAAAAGCAGTGTTTATGTCTTATGCTAAACTATCTAAAAATAAAATGTTGATATTATTCTTTTCTGTTAAAATCCTGTTTTTAAGAAATACAATATTTAGTTAGCACTCCAGGGAGTATTTCCTCCAGAGAACTATGCTTTTAAACTGGCAAGATTTACAGATTATTCATTCTTCAGTTTCTCTTCCAAAAGGCACAGTATAAATAACTTTAATTAATTAATTATTTATTGGGCCATTACAAAGGATGAGGAACTGTCTTAGGCACTATAGGAAAATTTACCAGTGAAAAATAAGAAAATACAGATTAGCACCTAACATAAACACTGAAAATAAATAATAGATGTTAGAGCTGGAGAATTGCCAATTATAACACTTTTTTTAAAAAAAATTTATTTATTTGTTTATTTATTTTTGGCTGCATTGGGTCTTCGTTGCTGAGCGCAGGCTTTCTCCAGTTGTGGTGAGCGAGGGCTACTCTTCCTTGCAGTGCACGGGCTTCTCATTGCGGTGGCTTCTCTTGTTGAGGAACACGGGCTCTAGGCGCATGGGCTTCAGTAGTTGTGGCACGCGGGCTCAGTAGTTGTGGCTCACAGGCTCTAGAGTGCAGGCTCAGTAGTTGTGGCGCATGGGCTTAGTTGCTCCATGGCTTGTGGGATCTTCCCCCACCAGGGCTCAAACCTGTGTCACCTGCACTGGCAGGGGGGTTCTTAACCACTATGCCACCAGGAAAGTCCTATAACACTTTTTTAAAAAGCTGAGAATATTGGCTTTCAAAATGAGGCTTACTTGAAGAAATTCAGATACAGTTAACCCTTATAATTAAATTATCTAATTTTCAGCACTCAAACTGTTAATCTCTACGATCACATTAGTAATTGAAGAGTCAACAGCCTGAGCATTTCACAAGGCATGCACAGGAAGCCTATTCCCTCACAGAAAGCCCAGAGCTTTGGGGACACTGACAGTGGTCAAGTTTGGTTCACACCCAGCATTCCCCAGCAGGTAGGCCAGGGGATGCTGGTCTTGTCTCTCATCCTCACTGCTTCCTCCACCACCACCTTACCAAAGCGTCCAGGTTCTCCTTGCAGGAGCTGCAATTATTATACTAACTTCAAAGGCAGCTCAGGAAGCAAGATTTGAGTCTTAATTCTGTTGAGCTTTCCTCCATTCCATAAGATGACTTTGGACCATGCCATTTGAATTGTCAGAAAGTTTTTTGTATATGAAAATACAATTCACAGGACTTCCCTGGTGGCTAAGACTCTGTACTCCCCATGCTAGGGGCCTGGGTTTGATCCCTGGTCAGGGAACTAGATCCCGCATGCAGGCTGCAATGCAGACCCAGCAAGCCAAATAAATAAATAAATAAATAATTTTTAAAAAGAAAATACAATTCACCAGACAGATTTTTAATGAGAAGACCGCTTAGACTGAAAAGTAATTTTTTGCAAAAATATTCGTTACAAGTCTCTTGATATAGTGAAGGGCAGCAAATTTTATATCATTACATTTACACAAAGAAGTGAATTAATAAAGTTTCAAATTCTGCTGCATGAAGCATAGTATACTTATAGATCCAGAAAAGAAGTCATGAATTATCTAACAAAAAATGTGAACAATATATATTTGAACATAATCATTGTGCTCTTCTTCAAAAATGTGCTTAAAATGTAACAAAACCATCATATAAAAAGTTTCTGAAAATAAAAGCAAAAAGGAGAAATCATAAAGGAAAAAACTGATAAACTAGAATATGTAAAATTCAAACTTCTGAATATCAAAATCACCATAAATAAAATATTCTTATTTATTTAATCAACATATTTTCATTGAATGCCTACCATGTGTGAGGCCCTATTCTAGGTGCTTATTAGGAAATGGCAGTGAACAAAACTAACAAAAATCCCTGTCCTCATGGAACTTGGCAGTTTAACATTATATATCTTTATAACTTTTCCTCATACACTGTTGGTGGGAATGTAAATTGGTGCAGCCGCTATTGAAAACAGTATGGAGACTCCTTCAAAAACTAAAAATAGAACTACCATATGATCCAGCAATTCCACTATTGGGTATATATCTGGAAACAATGAAAACACCAACTTGAAAAGATACATGCATCCCAATGTTCACAGCAGTGCTATTTACAATAGCCAAGACGTGGAAGCAACCCAAGTGCCCATCAACAGACAACTGGATTAAGAAGATGAGCCCTATGTCACTCCAACTTTTAGCTTGGAGGCTTCCAGATTGCTGCACAGAGAAGGTGAATCCAAGTTAAACACCCAGGTCTGAGTGAGTTAAGAGAGATCAGGATTATGGGAGTCCAAAATGCAGGTGAAATTTGCAAGGCAAAGTGCCAGAGAGGAGGAAGCTATATAATGAAAGAGCTCCAGAAACCAACAGGTGGACACTCTTGAGTCTTTGGCTGAATAATAGCTGCTCATGCGTAGGGTGATACTTCATGATGTGAGGCAAGGGAAGCTGCGTTATGAACCCCTAGGAAACTGAGTGATAAACAATTTCCAGAGATGTTGATACATACAACAACTTGAATGACTCTCCAATGAATTACACTGAGTGGGAAAAAAAAAAAAGCCAATCTTAAAAAGTTACATACTTTTTCACTTATATAACATTTTTGAAATGACAGAATTTTAGAAATGGAGAACAGATTAGTGACTGCCAGGATGTAGAAATGGAGGGTGGATATGTATGGTTATAAAATTATGGGCAATACAAGGGATCCTTGTGGTGATACAGTTGTTCAGTATCTTGACTGTGGTGATGGATATATGAACCTACAGAGGTGATAAAGTGTATAGAACTAAATACACACATAAATGAGTACAGCACAGCTGATGTGAAACTCATGGATACAGAGTGCTGACTGTATTCCTTGTACTAGGCCATTTTATATAAGGGACCTGAATATCACCAAATTTTGATATCCTTGGGGACCCCTAGAACCAATCCCTGTGGATACCAAGGGATGACTATACAAGTAAAACTGGAGAAATCTGAACAGGATTGGTGAATTGTATCAATGTCAATACCTGGCTGTGATATTTTTACTATAGTTTTGCAAAATGTTGCCTTAGAGGGGAAATGAGTGTATACAGATCTCTCTGAATTACTTCTTATAACTGTATGTGAATCTGTAATTATCTCAATGAAATTTTCAATTAAAAAAATACTTCAAAGGAATCAAAGTGGCATGCAAGTAACTTATTTAACTCCCTGTCAAAATAAAATTCAACACATAAAAATTATATAATCTCACAACGTTTGAAAAAAATTTTGACAAAATTCAACACACATACATGATAAAAACTCTCAGCAAACTAGGAAATGAAGCAGACTTCCTCGACCTCATAAAGGACAAATACCAAAAAACCTACACTGAAAAGATGCTCAATATCACCAATTATTTGAAAAATGCAAAACAAAACTACAATGAGATACCACTTCACATCCATTAGGATAGCTATTATGAAAACAACAAACAGAAAAATAATGTATTGATAAGGGTGTGGAATATGGGGACCCTTGTATATTAATGGTGGGAATGTAAAATTGTGCAGCTGCTATGGAAAACAGTATGGCAGTTCCTCAAAAAATTAAACACAGAATGACCATATGATCCAGCAATTCCACTTCTGGATATACACAAAAGAATTGAAAGCTGGGATTCAAACAAATATTTGTTCATCAATGTTTATAGCAGCATTATTCACGGAAGTCAGAAGATGGAAACAACCCAAACATCCATCAACAGATGAAGGGATAAACAAAATTGGTATATACAATATAATGGAATATTATTCAGCCTTAAAAAAGAACGAAAAAAAAAGAAAAAAAAGAATGAAATTCTGACATAGTATCTTGAAGATGCCATGCTAGGTGAAATAAGCCAGAAACAAAAGGATAAATATTATATGATCCCACTTACATGAGGTCCCTAGAGTTGTCAAATTCATAGAGACAAAAGTAGAACAGTGGTTGCCAGGGACTGGGAAGGAGGGGGTTATAGAATGGGTGTTATTGTTTAATAGGTACAGAGTTTCAGTCTGGGAAGATAAAAATGTTCTGGAGATGAATAGTGGTGACGTTTGCATAACAATATCAATGTACTCAATGCCACTGGACTGTACAGTTAAAATGATAAATTTTATATTATATATATGTTGCCACAATAAAAAAACTAATACATTAAACACACACACACAAACACACACAAACACACACACACACACACCCTACAGTTAACATCATATTTAACTAGGGAAGACTGAACACTTCTCCCCTAAAATCTGACACAAGGCAAGGACATCCACTCTCATGACTTCTGTTCAACATTGTACTGCATCCTAGCTATGCAATGAGGCAAGAAAAAGAACTAGAAGGCATAGAAATTGTAAAGGAAAAAGTTAAATTGTCTTTATTCACAGATATGATTACGTTCACAAAAAATCCTGAAGAAGCTACCAAATAACCAGGAGTTATAAGAGTTAATAATTGAATTTAGAAAGGTCATCCAAAAAATCAATTGATTCTATACACTAGCAGTGATCAACTGGAAATTTAAATGTTAACATACAATACCATTTGCAGTAAAATACACGGGAATAAATTTATCAAAAAATATGGCAAACCTCTGCACTACAAACTACAAAACACCACTGAGAGAAATTAAAGAAGATACTTTAGGGACTTCCCTGGTGGCGCAGTGGTTAAGAATCTGCCTGCTAACGCAGGGGACACGGGTTCGAGCCCTGGTCCGGGAAGATCCCACATGCCGCGGAGCAACTAAGCCCGTGTGCCACAACCGTTGAGCCTGTGCTCTAGAGCCCGTCAGCCACAACTACTGAAGCCCACATGCCTAGAGCCCGTGCTCCGCAACAAGAGAAGCCACTGCAGTGAGAAGCCCGCGTACTGCCGCGAAGAGTTGCCCCCACTCGCCTCAACTAGAGAAAGCCCGTGTGCAGCAACGGAGACCCAATGCAGCCAAAAATAAATAAATAAATAAATAAGATATTTTAAAATGAAGAAATATACCATGCTCATAGATTGGAATACTCAATATCTTAAGTTATCAATTCTCTGTAGACATTGCTCTATAGCTTCAACATAATCCCAATCAAAATCCCCAGATTTTTTTTAAAGAAATGAACAAGCTTATTCTAAAATGAACATGGAAATGCAAAGGCCACAGAATTGCCAAAATAATCTTGAAAAAGACAAAGTTGGAAGACTCACATCACACCACAGAGATGCATCAGCAAAATCCAAGTTGTAGGAAATCTTACAGGACAAAGGTGTTTATAAGTATGTATGTATATATATGTGTGTGGTGTGCACACACCCAAGCATATACTACCTCAGGATGTAAAATATATTACTTACTGTGAGTCATGTTTAAAAATGTTTCAAAGCCATTGCCACAGTTTGTAAGCTTTGGGTGAGCAAAGGCTGTGTCTGCTTTTATTCACCATTACGTTTCCAGAAACAACAGACTGCCTGGCACAAGGCAAGTGCTCAACAAGCATTTGTCAAGTGACTGGAAGAATGAGGACAGATGTTGGAAAAAAGGAGGGAAGAAACCAGCACTAAATTTCACCTGCTTCATAATTTTGCTTTGGTCTCTACAGAATCCTAAATAAAACCTTGTAATTTTCTCAGGATAAGATTCTTACTAGGGGAGTCATTTATAAAACCTAAAAATCTTTTAAATTCTAACTTTTAAGCCTATAGTTGGGAAGCCAAAAAATGACTACTCGAGAGCCCCCTCTAGTGGTGCCCTTTTCACAGCTGACCTCCTGCAGAAGGAGCTGGAAGTGGTATCCTCCACCACTGCCTCCCACCCAAGAAGAATTTTGCTTTCCAACCCCTAACCTTAAAAACAGTCTAGCTTTCCACTGGTGAAATTATCAATGTGGAACAGGTAAGGTTAAACCAGGAGACAGCAAAAAAGGGACTGACAAACAAAAATGTACTTATTCTCTTCTAATGTACAGGAGAAATCACTAACCCTGCCATCACCACTCATTCTGCTAGTTTAGAGCTGAAACCTTGTTGTAAGAAAGCCAGCTGTAGGGTAAGAATGAAGCCACAAAATACTACTACTGCAGCTTTTGACTTCTGCATGAGATATGATAAGCATTTTATTAATGAAAACATTTCAAGATTGAACCATGATGATATCAATGCTCCTGGGGTTCCCGTATTGAGGGTCCATCTGAGTCAATCATCTCAACATACCTATGAAGACAGAGTAGAGTGAAGTGGGCATGACAGAGTCCAAGCCAAGGGCAGGAATAAGGAGAGGGAAAGGGATGCTATGAAACAGACATCTCTTTTCCACCAAGTCTCTTTAAAATTTAATATCTGTTTCCCAAGTCTAAAAAAGAAAAATAATAAAGAATAAGAGCTTGTAAAGGCATTCCGAGGCTATTCTCCCAGCCAGCGAGCCCCCGCAAAATGAGAATTTGACCTATCTTTTATTACCTATTTTGTAAGTATTCTAAACTAAACTGAGTATGGCCACCAAAATGTTCATCTCACTTCCTATTTCAGAATTCCTTTCTCTTCCCCTCTCTACATTATGAAGATGTTCCTAGCCAAAGATTGCCACACACCCAGCCTATGTGAATATCCCATGTTACACATCTTTTCTAATCCCTTCATTCAGATAAATTACATTTATTGTACCTCCTTCAATTCGTTAGAATATGGCTGTATTTTCCAAACTAAAAATCCAACAACTTTCATAGTTGTTGTTGTTTTTTTTTTTTTAAGTCCTTTTGTAGAAGTGGAAACAGTTGTGCCTTGCTAACCATCTCCATTTATGGTTAAGTGGTTAAGGGAACAAGAGAAACAAAGATGCAGATTTTAGCAATGACAGAACATGAAAGTGAAGGTATAGGAAGTAAACGTTCTCCAAAGAGGCAAAAAATAAGAGATGACAACAGAATGAGATCTGCTAGCGGTGCCCAAAGGTGCAGACACACAAAACTGCTCAAGTACCTCGTATAAATCAGATTCTAAATAAGAAGCATACATTGGTCTCAAAAATACCAATTAGCCAATGAACTAAGAAAAAGAATAGTTTGAGCTTCTTTCACATTTTTAAAATCTGCAAGTTTGAAGAATCTCTATCATTCACTTTTTAAATACTTTTTATTAGATTTGCTAAATCTATAAATGTAAAACAGGCATTTAGAGGCATTAGTAAACAAATCAGAAGAAGAGGGAGGACCCAGAAAAGAACATTTTGATCTTTAAGGCAGTATAACTACTTATTCAACTTCTATTATTTTTCTTACCCTAAAATTCTTATTAAGATAACGAACCTCTGCCACCACTTCCTCACAATGCAAATTTGTTGATCTCGTTACATTAAATGTGCATTTTGAGTATGTAAAGAACTGAAGGACAAGCCATAAGGTCACAGGAAGGAGGAGCCACCTTCATGACATCAGTAAAGGTGGGTAACCAGGGAGAGGTTTAAAACTGGAGAAAAAGATTTCATTGAAGGAAATAGAAACCAGAAACAGACAACTTCAGCAAGAATGAAGTCAGGGAAGAAGAAAGACATTAACTGATTAGGAAAATCCAGAAAGTAAGTGACAGCTCATAAGGTTTCCAAGAAAATGTGAGTCTTTGTGCCAGTGCATGACCAAGGAAATGTTACCACTCATATGTTAAGAACATCTACTCAGGGACTTCCCTGGTGGTGCAGTGGTTAATAAACCGCTTGCCAATGCAGGGGACACGGGTTCGAGCCCTGGTCCGGGAAGATCCCACATGCTGCGGAGCAACTAAGCCCGTGCACCACAACTACTGGGCCTGCACTCTAGAGCCCGCGAGCCACATCTACTGAGCCCGAGCACCACAACTACTGAAGCCCATGCGCCTAGAGCCCGTGCTCCTCAACAAGAGAAGCCACCGCAATGAGAAGCCTGCGCACCGCAACGAAGAGTAGCCCCTGCTCGCCGCAACTAGAGATAGTCTGCGCACAGCAACGAAGACCCAACGCAACCAAAATAAGTAAGTAAATAAATTTATTTTTTAAAACAAGTAAAAACAAACAGCATATTTTTTTTAAGTTATTAACCTGAGTCAAACAGCACTGAGCAATGAGATTCTGGTTTATCTAATAACCTATCTGGAAATGACTTCCTTCCCTGAGATCAACTGACTTTATACATTAAATAATGTTTGCACCCTAACATGCTAACTAATCCTGCCTTCAACTGCAGTCACCCTATGAGAAATAAAAGTAAAAACTAAGATAACCGCACTCCTCTCCTCTCTCCTATTTTACCTCACCTCATCCTGTTCCTGCTGGTAGTGTACTGAGGGATAGAAATGGAAGTTATCCCTGAGTGAAAGCTGGGAAACTTTTTGTTTGGACCACTTAAAACTTATTTTAACACACTTACCAACATCTCCATAAACATACAGGCCCCTTGGAGGTTTGCTCCTTGAAAAAAGCTGCAAATTAAGAACAAATTATAAATCTCCAACATGGAAATAATCGAATATCATCATATACATAGTGTTCCTAACCGTGCTATATATACAGGACTGAAATGGGCTACTGTACACAATAAGTACAAAAAACTTGATATAAAAGGCTATGAAGCCCCACTTAGGTTTTAATATAGGAGGCAAGAGTCATAATAGCTCAGAGCAAGGCTCTGAAGTCACACAACTTAAGTTTACATCCACTTCACAATTTACTAACCATGTAATCTTCCCCCTCTTTCCCAAATGGGCTCCCCAAACAATGGCAGCCTAGCTCATTCCCAGCAAACAAGAGATCAGAAGACTTTTTCTGAAGAAAGTGAATGGTTTCCAGAAATAAAGGCCCAAAGGCACTTAGTGTGGGTTTCTCCCAAAGAAAGAACTGGGTCCCTATCAGATCACCTTACAGTAAAGCATACTAGTCAACAAACCTCTTAAGATGGAGCCTTCAATCAGTTCATTAGTATCTGAAAAGACTCTAAAACGAATTGACAGCCAAGAATCAACAGAAATTTGAAAAAAAAAAAAACAGAAAAACTCCCATTATGAAAGTTGGAGACCACAGCAAATATACAGGGGGCAAAAAACTCCAAGGAAACAGAGACTACACAGACAGCAAAAGGAAACTTCAAAATAAAACTGTAACCAATATAATTAATAGGCTGAGGAAAATAAAAGAAGTTATTAAAACTATAAAGCAGGAACAAGATGCAATTTTTAAAAGGAATATTAAGAACAAAAGAGAGCACTTTGAAATTTAACATATGGTAGCAGAAACAAAATTCCAGAAAAGGGATTAGAAGATAAGCTTGAGGAAATGTTAAAGAAATACAACAAATAAACAATGAAAGATGGAAAATATAAGAAAATTACAGGATTAATTCAGGAGGTCCAATATCTGACCAAAAGGAATTCCAGAAAGAGAAAATAGAGAAAAAAGAGAGGAAGAAATTACCTAAGATTTTTCTCAGATCTGAAGGATGAAATTTCAAGATTGGGAGGACAGATTATATAAGTGTCCAACACAATGAGGGAAATAAGACCCATACCAAGTCATAATCCTGAAATTTCAGACACCAGGGATATAAAGGAAATCCTACAAACGTCCAAGGTGGCAGTGGGGTGGGCGTTCAGGGGGAAACGTGGTGGGGAGTGGTTGGCTGGAGACAGGTCACAAACAACCGATAAAAACTTGAATAAAGTTTGAGGGGCAGTGATTTCCAATCTATCCATCAAGTGTGAAAATGGGAAACTGACATTCCATACATACAGGGTCTCAAAAAACCCTCCGCAACAGAAATAGGAACACCTAGGCTCCATGAAACACAGAGGATCCTGGGGAGAATGCCCTGGTAAGATGGAGGGCTGCTCTCTAGAACCACAGTGGCACAAGCAGGACAAGAAAGCAATCAAGTCCAGACCAAAACAGGAGGATGGAGGCCTCAAAGGAAGAAACAAAATGGAACTTCTCTTTGCCTGATATTATTATCAACCCAAATTACCTTCCTGAATTTTGCTCCACTTAGAAGAGTAACCTTCAAACTATATGACAGTTCCTAGACACCTGTGCAAAAACCAAGGTGAGCCAGAGCTGAGAGAGTTCAGAAAGGGTAAAAGCAGAAAGAAGCGAAGGTTATGCCACTTAGCACCAACCAGAGCAGTCAATATTTTGACAGAGAACATTTTCAAAAGCTAGACTTCAGGATCCACTACCTAATGCTTTTGTTTTTTAATCTGTGGATTCACTCCAGCATGCCTCAGAAACCTCTCTCGCTTTCCTATCCCTCAGCTTTCTCTATAAATCCAGCCTCTGACTCTAGCACACCCCTTCCAAAAGAACCTTCACCATGGTTTAGGCAAAAGGATCTTCTTTGCTTTGACTCTGCCAGGTGGATATGTCTTCCCTGTGTTCCTCTGCACATTAACTCTCGATCTATTCTTAAATCTCAGCTGAAAACAGATGCCACTCCTGCCAAAACCTCTTAATTTGTCTTGGTGTAATATCTTATGTGAACCATTCTTGTACATTGGTTATTCTATTTTCAATTTGCCAGAAAAAAAGCATCATGCTCCTCAATAATTTTAGAACAGCTTCAAATTAGAAAACTTATATACAACCTAATAATCTCTAAGTATATTCTATGTATTAGAAATCTTTTGAAAGCAAATTTTTGCATAAGGTAACTGGAAATGTTATAGCAATTCTTCACATCACATTTTGTAGAAACAGTCTGGGATCTAGTCATGATATAATCAACATATGCTGAACCAATGAAGTTCAAGCCAAAAATTTAACAAAGGTGGGGGAAAAAGATGACATGGGAAGAGCTCAATGCTGCTAAAAAAAAAAAAAAAAAAAAAATCACTTGGGCCTATCTTCTGTTTTACCCAAACTCAACGTATTTTTGAAAGAGCACTTTGGCAAATATTACAGTACATTATCTATTACGTATATAATTTATATTATATTATATTTTATGGCAATATTTAGAAGATGATAAAGAGATATGGTTATAGAGTATCAAAGGAAAAGATTCTCAAACATCTGAGATCACAAATAACTCGTATGGCATAAATACTGTTTAAGAAGCAGATTTTACTCCAAATAAATTGATAAACACAATGGATAATCCTCTAACAATAAATGTTAGACATCATCTATCTAAACTATGTTATATACACACCAAGTATTTTCACTTGGAGAGGCAGGTTAGTTTTCTCCTCATAAAATTTCAGTCTTCCAAAAATTATTGAAATTATTTCAAAGGATTTAAAACTCTATATTTTAAGGGGAAAATCAGAGGATTGAATGGAGAACAGTAAGACTATTTAGAAGGCTGTAAAATGGGTTCTAAAGAAGTTTTTTAATTCTTTATTCATAGTGGTCAATTCAGGGAGAGTTAGGTTCACACAGTTTTCTTCAAAATAACGACACAGGCACCCACATAATTTACATGCTCCTAATTTACATTTTCTCACAATTTACCCTATTTTTCAGGTCCATTAAATTTCCTTTCCCAATGTTTTAATTTCCTGTAATGTGTTCCTATGTCTCAGAGCACTCCACCCTGGCATAGTTCCTGGGTGCTGGGGTTCTACATGTGCTCCCATCCTCCACAAGCCTCCTTCATCCTGCTCTCCACCCTGGGGGCAACCTTGCTGGCTGGCTGCTAGCTGGGTTCAGCCCCTGGGAGGCACTACTTGCAGGAGATAGGAGGGAGGAGGTGGAGAGAAATCCGGGTCATTCTCTCCCGTTGCTTCCCTGCTTCAGTGCTGTGTCTCTAGCAGAGCTGCATCCCTCCATAATCATTAGGTCCTCATGCCACAGCTACAGCTTTCTGCAGGCTCCTCCTTCACTCCTCCACCCTTTGTTTGCTGCCTTAGGCCTGCCCTGCCCATGACTCTCTAAGTCATCTCTTGACTCAGTCTTTAAAGTGCTGTGAACAGTTTCCTGACAGCGCTCTGATACACGCCCAACCTCTAAAATACACCTACTTAACACTGACTAGACAAAGACTTGAAGATCTGAACATGAATGAGCTTCTCTAGTGGCCGGTTGTAAGATTTCTCATGTTACTTATACCTTAGGGAATTTGTGAAGTAGGATGATGACACCTTCTCTAACGTGTTTTTGATAAGGATCCAGTGATACTGTATTACAGATTGTGCAGATGGTAAGCTTAAGGATGATGTTGGAAGACAGTGGAAAGCTATCACCTACCTCCACTAAGCATAAAAGATATAAGGAAAGAGTATTAGAGTTGAACTCAAAAGATCTGGGTACAAATTCTGGTTCGGCTACTTATTAGCTATGTGACTCTGGGTAAGCCACATCAACTCTACAACCAGCCATTTCCTTATCTGTTGGGTGCAGGACACGGCACTGGGGAGTTCCCACTCACTGCCCACCTCTGCACACCTAATCACAAGGCGCACTCACTCATGCTGAAGACTGTAAACTTCATGTACTGATACCTGCTTCTATCCAAACCCATGGACCACTAAGAAGAAACATCGCACCCTTTGACACACCCTTCTCAAAGATCTGAACAACATTAATGTATACTTAAGCTATTTTATATCTATACAAACTCTACCAAACAAATCAAGAATACATTCAAGAACATGGAGCACATTTTCAAATACTGTGCATATTCCAAGCCATAAAGGAAACCTCAATAAACTCCAAAGAATCACTGTAGTCCAACCAAAATGGAATAAAATTAGAAATAAATGATGGAAGGATAGCTAAAAATAGAAAAATCTCATACTAAGATATTGACTTTCCCTCACATTCCCTCACGTCCACCCAAACTTCTGGGATTGCAATTTCACATAGGAAGTGGAAGGAGGTCCAACCCAATGCCTTCTGTTTTCTCTTTATAAAGATGTAGACATTTGCTGAAAGTGATAGGGGAAGTGTAGTTCAGCTTGAAGGGAGCTAAGAAGGCTATAGAGAATCGTTACAGAGAAGAGTGAACTAACCAGCGAAACAGATTTGTTGACAAAATGGAGGGACACGCCTCAGGGCTTTCAGATTGTTCTCAACAATCTTCTATACCTGTGCAGTAGCCATGTCCTTTAGGTGAGAATGATCCCACTCCCAGCTCTATCCTCCACAACTGGATGAGGGGTTCAAGGGTGAGCTTATGACTAAGTTCAGTCAAGCAGAGTTCTGTTGTTCAACTCTAGGTGAAAGAGAAGCTCCAGTCTTCTGGGCAGTATGCTGTGTAGATGTGATGCTAGTTTGCTACTTTGAGATAAGCCAAGCTGAACACAAAGCCAAAATAATCAAGAAGGCAAGATCAAGAAGATTTCCAAGTAAGTAATAGAGTCAGGGGCCTAATACACTGCACCTGAAGCATACTTATCCCTGGACTTCTACATGAGCCAATGATTACTTGTATTATTTAACCTAGTTTAGTTGGGTTTTCTGTTATTCGCAACTGAAAGCATTCTAACTGATG